TTCCTTAGTTTTAACTTTAAACCATTCTGGTTGTGTTGGGAACCCTCATCCTCGTGTGATGTATCCCGGTTTGAGACCCCTTCTGATTGGCAACTGTAAATGCCAACTCGTCATCTCTCTCAACAGTGCTCTTTATTATTGTTGTCTGTGAGACTCCCGCAGGCATGGCGGACAGAGCGAAGCGATCGAAGGTCTGGGACTGCACTTTAAAAAAAGATGTACGTGGCGCGATAGACTGACCAGTCGATATGCCCTACTCATTAATTTGCCTTGTAAAGGGGGTAACACAAGCCAACTTAATGAAGCATTTGTGCAAACAAGACACTCATTGAATCTAAACGGTGCTTAAGACGCGATGGTGCTAAATAGTGGCTAGCGGGCTTCAACCGCACCATGTGTAAATGTGACTCTGAGCGAAGTCTCGCAGGCAGGTTAGCTGACCTGCGCACGGGTAAATAGGTTTTGTTTACCTGAGTACAGTCTTGCTGGGCACATCGCCTTGTCTTTTTTTAGTTTATTAACACTGGACAGTGGTATTAATTGAGCTCCTACACCTATAATAAGTTTGGCCCTTTCATGAATGCTTTATATAACCAGTTAAACTTACAGATGCTCATTCGTGAATTGGAAAACTGCATTTAAATGTTGTTAAATGTCAACGTCTCATGTATGGTTCAGCCAACAATTGTTGGTCGTTCTACTAGGAATTTGACATATTTTTAAGCTCAATACTTTGGTTCTATGTTTAAACCTTCAGAACACATTTTGACGTGTTTCAGTTCAGCATATCTTTATGTTTTGATGATTAGGAATTACAAATCCAGAATAATATAACGTACTGGCCTTTATCTTTTTTGGCATCTTAGCCTTTTGGACCAATTTCTTCATATCACAGTTTTGCATGATTGTCACTGTAGGACAATTGTTTTTTTAAGATCTCTTGTCGAGCTAGGTTGTCAGTTTGAAATGTCTGGATGAAGATGTAACTGAATTTACAAATGTTAACAAATGTTAAAAAAGAATGCTCTATTATCTCTCTGTCTGAGCGGAAACCACAAAAGCATGATAGGGCGAGCCAGGTCCCTCCTCATGGCAGCTGACTTTTAACTATCCTCATCCTCCTTGATCTTCGTGCAGCTTTTGACACCATTTCCCACAGCATCCTCATTGACAGACTGAAATACAATTCACTGTTTAACTCCAATACAATTACTGTTTAATCTTCACATCTTGTATTCATGTCTATAATTTTGAGCACCAAATTATTGAAAAGTATCGATAAGAGTATCGAAAAATACCGATATCGATAAGCAGTACCGGTACCGGTACCGGTATCGATAAAATCGTAACGATGCCCATCCCTACACCCAGCTCTACTTGTCCTCCAAACCAACCACCATCCTCCCTCCATCCTCCCTATCTGACTGCTTACAGGACATCAAATCCTGGTTTTCCTCTAACTTTCTCAAACTTAACGATAATAAAACAGAGGTTCTCCTCATTGGCACAAAATCCACCCTAACCAAACCTGACAGTTTCTCCATTACAATAGACAACTCTTCAGTCTCCCCCTCCCCTCAGGTTAAGAGTCTGGGTGTCATCCTCGACGGCACACTTTCATTCAAATCTCACATCAGTAATATCACTCGGTCTGCCTATTTCCATCTACGCAACATCAACCGCCTCCGCCCGTCCCTTAACCCTAAGACCACCGCCATTCTTGTTTACACCCTGGTCACTTCCCGCATCGACTACTGCAACTCCCTTCTCTTTGGTCTCCCTCTCAAATCCATCCACAGACTTCAACTGGTTCAGAACTCTGCCGCCCGCAACATCACTAGAACCCCCTCCATTAAACACATCACTCCTGTTCTTCAAAAACTTCACTGGCTCCCCGTCAAATACCGTAGAGTTTTTAAGATTCTGCTCCATCCATAACCTCACTCCTCTGTACCTCTCCGACCTCCTGCACATCAACACACCCATCCGCACACTCAGATCTTCTGCTTCCCTCAACCTCACTGCACCGCCCTTCCGTTTAACCACCATGGGGTCTAGAGCCTTCAGCCGCTCTGCACCCCGCCTCTGGAACTCCCTCCCACCTGACATCCACAACACTGACTCTCTCCCCATTTTCAAATCACGTCTCAAAGCACATCTCTTCACACTCGCATATCCACCCTGATCATTATCCATCACACATCCTCTGTTTTATTCATTTATTTATTTGTTTATTTGATTGATTTATATAGTGCATTGTCATTGTCTTGTTTATGTTTCTTATGCTGGTGTTATCCATTGTGTATCTTGTTTTTTATGTGTTTGTACGGCGACCTTGAGAGCCTTGAAAGTCGCCTATATAAAATAAATGAATTATTATTATTATGATTTAGTGGGGTTTGAACCTGTGCTCCCCTGATCCGAACACCAAAGCACCAGGCCACTGCGCCACACTCCTTAACTTTAGCTCAGGAAAGTTAAGGCAATTAAACATGGTAATGGCTACAAACAATCGCAGTTAATGATCGTGAATTAATCATTACAGTGAGGTAATTGTCTTTCTCCTTTGATTTTAGACAATGGCACCTGTCCAGGAATGACTCACTCAGTACATACCAAAGTCCAATAATTTGTTTTCCCAACTGACAATTCACTTTCAAAGCACAATGAGGATGTTTAACACAATGTTTTACAATGAATCAAAATGACATGTTGTTGGTATGAAGAATCATTTAAATAACAAAAGGTGACGAACATTAAGATTTAGTCTGAGGTCATTTGGAGATTCAGTCATAATCACAAGCTAACATAGACGACAACTCTTATCAAAGTTCTTAAAATATACGCAAAATTCCCTATATTCAATTCAATGGACATGGTCAATACGTTCTTCACTCTCTTACTTAGAGTTCAATTTGATTTGATACCACTGTCATCGCTGCATGGTATGAGCAAGGCTGCAGCTAGGAGGCAATTAGCTTAGCTTAGAATAAAAACAGGAAGTAGGGGGAAACAACTAGCCTTGCTCTGAACTAAGGTTTTACTTTGGAAGCTCACTCATACCACTTTGTTTAATATGTAAAGTGTAAAAGCAACAAGTCGTCATTTCACGGGAGGTTATGTGTTTAGCATGCTAAGCTAACAGTCTTCCGGTTGTTCATATTCAACAGAAAGATCTGAGTGATATCTTCTTATCCCCCTCTTTACAAGAAACCAAAACAGTTGTATTTCCTCAAAAATAAAACAATATTAAATGTTTTATTATTATAACTTTTGGCCACTCTCTTCTTTCGATGTTCAATATTTTCACTGGAGAGAACATTTAAAAAAAGTGAGAAAGCAGTGAAGTGAGAACAGCATTTATGCGCCACCACTGGCCCTATCTTTGAAAATGTCTAGAAGGGCTCTATTTTGCATTCGATGTGTCACATTGTTGTCATGTTTTGAATATGTGCCAGAGTTAGCCGCCATCCTGTCATCTGCAGCCAGAGCAGGAAAAACCTCTCCAATGTTTTTCAATGATATTCAGAGTATTTTATATCCCATAAATCTGTGCCTGAAACTGTACCTTCAATCTCAAATTTGGTAGTAATCAAAAAGTGTTATACAGACAAACAAGTTGACACAAAAACACTGGCTTACTTTTGAGCACATTACAGTCACAAGTTGTTTAGATAAGTTTGCACTAAAAAGCAGAACACCGGAGAAAGACAAGGAAACCCAATTACTCCTGCATTAGTGTTATCATTTGAAACATCTTCATGAGGCAGCAGCAAATAAAATGTTATGGTCTGTGTATCTGTAAACACTCGAACCGGTTTTTCCATTGTCTCATCCACAGGAAAGAAATGTGTTTATGAAGGCATATATATCAGCAAAACTACACCAAAATACACAAAAAAAATACATGGTTCAAGGACACCTTTTCATCGGTAATTCATGAAAACAGGTTAAACGTACAAATATACATTACAACACAATGACTATGTTGTAATTTTTTTCAGTATGCTTCAGGCTTACACTCAAAGACTTCATTTTCTTTTTTCCCTTTTCTGGTTTGAGGCCAGGTTTTGTTAAGTAGGTAGCAAGTGTTAAAGGGTTATTCCACGCTAATCGCATCCAAGTCATATGATCAAACTGTGAAGAGGCTGTCAGGTTAAACTGAGTCAAGCTAGACACTTTACAACATCAAAACAGGAAGTCAAGCATATTAAAGGCTCATAAGGTATATATATATTGTATTGTATTGTATGTATTTATATATATAATAATAATAATGGTGTAGTTGCAATGATGGGGTCAGATGGTATGTATTTGTATTAGGCATACTGTCAACAATATAACTTTAAATAAATGCAGTGTGATGCATTTTAAGAAATGACAATTGTCACAAAGCCATTGATAAGTTATAATATGGTTCCGACTTTTTCATTGTCATCTCTTAAAATTAAGCAACCCCTCTTAGGTTATGGTTATTATTGTGGAAATATATTTTAAAACTTGTTTATTTTACTCGTGTTTGAGATTCTGTTCACCTCTTTACCTTTTTTAAAGCATTTATTTAACATTTAGGAATAAGGCTGATATACCTAATTTTCTATTTTGTGATTATTATTATTTTACGTTTTCCATGTCTTTTAATGTCAATTCCTGGACAACGGGGGAGAGGGATGTGTTAATGCAGTGTAGTGCCAATGTTTCTTTGTTCTGAATGGAAAATTCAATAATAATTTGAATTACAAAAAAACAACAACGTAGGAATAAGGTGTACTCTGGACTGAAGTAAATAGTAATACTACAGTGTTAAAAGACCAAGCAGATAGTTCAGTAAAGTACATATTTGATAGATACAGTAAATAATAAAAGTTTCTCAGGGTACAGGAGTTTTCTTTTGAAAGTTGTGACCGGAAACAGTTGTAGTTCACCTTGTTTACGTTGACAGTGGTCCAATAGTGACTAGTTTCCCAGGCTAACTAACCATCAGACGGTGTTCAGACAGGAGACATGGGACTGTGGAATCACCGAGGGGGGGAAACTCTTCTCCAAAACAACACAAACACAGGGAAAGAAGTCTTATCCAGCGAGAAGAAATTCATTGGAGCTTTACTTTTACACGTGTATTGATTTCTACTAAGACCGAACTAGAAGACTTAGATGACAACTGAAGTTATCCGTGCTTTTTTGATACCTAGGGCAAAGTGCCACTCCTTCGCTTAGCGCAACAGGTAGGTCGATACATTTTCTATCCTTTAAGGCTTTCTCACATCAAAAATAATGTTCTGAATTAACTTTAAAGTGTGTGAAAAGTGTTGTTGAAGCGTTGTTAAACCGTGGTGAGCTCAGCTTCGACGGTTGCTCACAGCGACAGGTGAGCCCTGAGTGGTGATGTCAGCCATATGCCGAGTCGCTTTGAAAAACAAAGAAATACAATAACGTCACCTTGCTATAGATAATAAGGTTGTTATAAGGCTGTATTAAATGGTAAATAAAGATTAAATAAAGTACGATAAGACCCCTTTAAGCTTTTGTTTTTAGATAGCCTACGCAAAATGTAGTTTTTGACACACTTTGGAGATGTGAGTGCACACCTGTTGCACTTAATGGCACATGGCTGTTAGCACACACTATAAAATAAAAAATACATTCATATAAGTTATCAATACGTTTATGAACTGTCAGTAGGCATGAGTGTAACTAAAAGAAAGCAAATAAGTCGTGTTTTCATATTTGTATTTGATCATTTATCCTTTTATACATTTTAATCTTTATTGTCCCTATTTATAAAACAATTATGGTAGACAAATACTATATATTTCAAAATATTGTGTTGGCCTTCAGATAGTGATCAGGCTGTAAAAGGCCCATCATGTGTTTGTTTTTATATCTAACTTAGGATCTTTTGCATTATTGATTAATTTCTTTATCCAAACATCTTATTATGCGAACATTTCAAAAGCCAAATTATATTTCAGTAGCCGTAATATATATTGAATCTTAGCTGAAATGATTAGAAGACTAACTGTTCATCGACAGAAAAATCATAAATAACACATTTTACATAGCCTCTCTAATATATGCTTTTGCAGTATCATTTTCTTTGTTTTATATCGTCTTAAACTGAACATCTTTTTGGTTTGGACAGACAAAACTAAATATTTAAAGACATCATTTTGGGCCTTTTAACTAATCTCTGTAAAACATGTCTAAAGCTGGTGCAAGCAAATGTTAGCCAATCAGTTTCTGTTCTCTAATCATACCAGCTGTAGTAGAATATAAATGTGTGTATCTTTGTAAAAACAAAATATATAAAAGTTTCAATATGTCCCTACAATGTTGTTAAAGTGACACACAGACGCTGATAAATTCCATCCAGGCCTGAACACATTCACTGCAGGCAGGTGAAGTTAATGAGTGAATGGGGGGCATTTGTCCTTTGTTAGGATGGAGTGGAGAGGCCGAGGAGTGGTCTTGAATTAGTTAACCAGAGCTCCTGTACACGGCCTTGAGCTATGTTTGCACATCTAACACGTAGCCCCGCTGAACCCTGGGTCGTTTAAAAAGGCACACAAACTTGATGCTTGAGCGCAAACCTGTCCTGTCTGCCGTTTATCTCTCAACACTCATGTTAACCGCCGTCTAGAAGCAGCTCTCATATATCAAATGTCTCTTTAAACTCTGTGATGGTTTTCTGGTCAGTTTTTTTTTACCTCAAGTCAGGTTAGATTTACAACATCCTGACAATTGATTTACACAATGTGCTCCGCTGCGGTTTGGAAAACACATTTTCCTGGCTTTAGAGGCAGACTCCACCCATGTGGCAGCCTATTAGACAAAACCAGCCATTAAAAGCGTATGCAAATATTATTTGCCCAAGGGCTAGTTTGCCTTGCAGCAGGATGGATGACTCGACCTGAAACAGGATGTAAACGGGTGAAAAGATCTCAATGCTGTTGTTGCACGGATAAAGATTGTGTAATGAATTTCCAAGAACATTTTATAATATGTAATGGATAAGGGAGTGTACTGACGCTCCTAAACAGATTTCATAATAAAGAAGCCTATTAATATATATATTTTCGGGCACTTTTGCATAGTCTTGTTGTCTTGTGTTACTGTCAGGATTTGACAGGGTGTTGGGTCTAAAAGCAGTACAAAGATGATGGCATGATAAACAAACAAAAACAGTTTAACACAAAAACAGGGGAACCAGGCAAACAGCACAAATAAAAACTGAACCTGTACAGACCATAGAGCACAAGAAGCGGATCGGGAACACAGGGAGAACCCACAGGAACATCTACGTACTGACAAAGAACAAAAGACTCAGCTGGAGAGGGGGAAACAGGGGCAGCAGGTGAACACAATCAGGCAGGAAAACACAGGAAAGTAAAACAAGACCATGACACATGAGAAAAAAGGCCTTTCCAAATCAAACAGGAAACAGAAATTCATGACAGTCAGAAGTGCCCTCTTCCTCTGCATGTCTTTCTATCTGAAGATGCTACTAATAGATACTTTTATTTAATGATTAATGAAGAATTACATTGAATATTTTGCTTATACAATATCAGAAAACACACTATTCAACTAAACAGCCTTATTTTGACTTGTATATTCAAACTTACTGTAAATATTAACCTGGATAATGTGTGCAAATATATCTCCGTAAAAACTAACATAAAATAAATGTGTACATTATCGTTGTTTGAATGGTTAGACCCACTTAAACATGTTGTTTAGCCCCTGTTTTATTTATAGCTGCATCACTGGCTCTATATGAAAAGAAAACGAGGTTTGTTTACTCGCTTAAAGTATAATCAAGAGCTCCTGGCTCAGGAGGATCCACGGGGGGAAAAACAGCAGCAGGTCTGTTTGCAGTGTGAGAGGAGGGGGGGGGGTGCTATTGATAAGAGAGGGCTGCTGTGTAATAGAGAGGAGAGACAGGGCATGTTTTCATCGGACTGCAGCTCAAGGCCAAATAAAAAGAAGTTTGGAGCTTGACCTCCCAAAATGTACATGGACTACTTTGAGTAAGTTGCTTGTGTAGGCGGAAAATCCATATCTAAATTGATCCATTACGAGTGTTAAATTAATATAAATTGGTCGGCATGACAACTCACCATGGATACACTTGCCTGATCGCACCAGGCGTATTCATATAAGACAGTTAAAGGCGAGCCCGTCGCATCCAAATCAATTGAAAATGAATTATGATTTGACAGATATTTAAAAGTGTTTTATTGTGAGGTTACACAATAACATCACTCTGACATCACTCGCTCTTTTATGGGAAGCATTATCAGGTGTGGGAGGTTATCTCATTTACTGTATATGCAGGCTATTAAAAGCTGGATGAAGCAGCGGGCGAGACAGCGCCACTTTTTCTTGTCATTGCTCAGACTTTAGCACGGTGTATTGACATTTCAGGCTGATTTGAAAAGCCTCAGAGCTGATAAGAGGCTACATTGACCAGCTTATCGAATGCTGCAGTTCTCTCTCAGCAGAGAAAGGCAGAGGTAACACCGGCAGCTACAAGGAAATCCTGCCAATAAGTGCTTCTTCTTTATTTGTGATATGGGATAATAGCCAGTTTCAGCTGAATTAAATGGAATGGATTTTAGATCAGGTTTAAATTAGCAACAGGTTGATTTTATATGACAATAAGAAAGACTGGATTACTGTACCTTTTGCTTTTCAAAGTACGAAATAAGGGATGCAACTTTATACCATCCGTTGGGGCTCGCCAATATTTCCATATCATTATGTATCGCCTTAAATGGAATGTTGAGATATTGTGATACCTCTGCATATCTTTCTGAGCAACTTCCAGTGATAACATCTGCTCTTATGTCAGTAAAAGGCTCATGTCATCCTGAGACCCATCATGCTTTTTTATTTTGGGAAAACGCAAGGCGGCTATGTAGACAAGCGGCTTCTCAATCTTGTCTTCCCTCAAAGGATGTGTTCAGGTAAACTCAATTGTGTGGGTCCAGAGCCCAAAATAATGTCTATAAAGTGATGTTTAGTACCAAAGATATTCAGTTTGGAGTGACATTAAAATAGATATGCTTCACATTCTTGCTTCAAGGCTAAACAGTTCATCTTTGCAGCTTTTTAGATCGGATTAGAGAAAGGGGACCTTGTTTTCAATTTGTAGGATTCACCACAAAATAACATTTTTTTACAAGGAAGCCCCAAAACAACAACAGTCCATCATATGGATGTGAGACGAGTTCGCCCACTTTTCCATCAACAAACCCCTCCCACGTTAACATGATCTCTCTTCTCACCGTACCTTCACACACACAAAACACAGACAAACACTCCAGAAGGTGTCAAGATATAAATGATACTTTATAAAGGTAACACTCAGCTTACATTACAGTTCCATCAGGGGACCGAGTTATGTAGCAACAGCGGGGTCCTTGTATTGAAAGACTCCTTTGTTGTAAAGTTCACCAGAGACCCTCGAGAGAAATATTCATATCTACACCTCAGGGCAACAACTCTCCGAATGAGCATTCAATTACTGTCTGAAGATAAGAGAAAAAGGGATTTGTATGATCTATCTATTAGGAGGCCTCTAAAGTTATTCAGGCTCTCTAATCCTCATCCACCTGCGTGTAGTTTCATATTCTTGGTATGTGCAGTGTTTAGACCCGCAACTCAAACCCTCGGTTAGACAGGAAAAAGGTTGTGGATAGATTTCAGTCGTCCAAGGGCAAAACAAAAACAATCGTTATCAGATATGCTGGAGGATGACTATATTTAGAGAGTGTTTTTTAGTTTTGAGGTCGTATGAGAGAACGAAGATCGAATCAGTACACCTATTTATTTGTATTTTCATCCTTATTATTCACCATTTAAACAGAAATACACCAGGAAACAACACATTTGCTATGAAGGGAATGGTGTCAGATGTCCGATCTCTCTATGTAATCCAAACGTCATTTTTTTTACATAGATGCTCCGACAACTAGTCCCCGTGTATGGCGAGCCAATCACTGGCAATTTGCTCTGTGCACATACGTCGATTAAGCGTTGATTAACCCCAACAGGTTATCACCGTTAGCTTTAGCAGTGTTAGCATCGTAAGCCAGCTCAGCCATCGCCATGTTGAGAACCGTATGGAGGTAATCTCAATGCACAAATGTACATATAGAGTGGGGTTGAAGGTGCCCTGTGTTTCCTCACAAAACATATCCTCTTGTTTACATGTTTACACTCTTCTTTTTTACTGCCTTTGAGCGATGCTACATTTTCAACACCTGTACATATTGTGAAACCATTGGCAGAAATATGTTTGACATCAATATGCTTCCTTGCAAGGAGTTATATGAGAACACACCAATCGCATCTCTGTGTGCTATCCATGAAATATGAAGCTACCGCCAGGGTTTACTTCTCTTGTCCAAAGGTTAAAAAAAGATCTGCCTTCTAGCACCTCTGAAGCTCACAGTATAATCCTCTCTGGTAATGAAACCCCTCAATTAGTGTGGAAAGAACCACTCACCACTCCTTCCCCGCATAATAACTGTTTTTAAACTAAACTCTTAACAGGTCAAATACATTTCAGCTGGACTCTTTCCAGAGGAAGAATTATGTTAAGCCTTATCTTTCCTGAGGAATTTCTCCACCCGCAGCAATCGTTCAATATTGGCTCTGACTGCCAGGTCCAGCGTTATCCCCTGGATTTCAATCCAGTCCACTTTTAGGGGACACTCTACAGCAATCTCAGTTTTATTGCACCTGTTTCTCCAAGATGAAATGTTTCAATTTCCCCCGGAGAAAACTCAGAAAGTGAAGGAACGGGAGCTGGCTGCCAGCGCTGAAATATCTCCCCCCTTCAGTAATCGTCCTCCAGTCCTCCCTATCATAAAACAAGAGCAATATATAAGATATTGAATAGCACAGGGAGCAGATCAAGCCCTGTTTTAGCCGGCCAACAATGCACAGATTGAATTCCTGATCTCGTTATGACTTTGGGGAGTCTCCAGGGAAACAACATGATTGGTCATTTGGATATGCTGCTGTGAATCTGAGTCCGATGCTGCTGTTACTGTGAAGCCTGCTGGATAGATTCCTCAATACTGTGAGGTGTACATGGCGTTGTTACAACTCACATCCTGCCTTCCTCATCAAGCTTTGCCATTACTTCATGATCTAAAATCTACTGTTTTAAAATGATTACATATATTTATCTAAGTTGTGATGGATGACAAGCATACAAATAAAAAGAGGTGTTCTGGATACTTGGAGTTAAATAAAGTAAAGGCATAACATGATAAAATACTGAAATAGTGGATTACTTCAGTAAAAACACTTCAGCTACACAACAGAGTATCTAGTTGTGGGTTGCGTTTGGGCTGGTTGTTATTGTTAGAATGTGCTGCTCTTTTCTGTCTTATGTGTCAACATTTTGATGGGCAAAGCAAGCACTTTAAAGACGTCTTCTCTCATCATCTTTTCATGAAGTTGTTACGCTTCAAGTTTGGCAGAACCACTTGCATTGAATCAGCTTCGGTCTAAAGAATCTAACTTTTCGGACCATGGGGAACTCTTTATTACCGCACTGGTTTTCCTCCTTCTCGCTGTGTAGTCTTAATATTTAACATGCCACACTGGTTTTCCCACTTCTCTCTGTGTATTTAAAGTTATTTACTCTGCAAACACAGTGGGGCTAAGATGACAGCTGCGAGTAGACACAGTGGAGCCAGAGCATAAGTCAGCCCGCCTTGTTAGTCATGTTTGTCTTCAGGCAGAGATCTTGGGAGTTGTCTTCGACGTTTGACGCTAATGTCACTTATTTATTTGTGATGTAACAAGCTAAAATGGCAGTGTGACTGTATCTCTGCCCTGAGGAGCACCTCCTCTCTGACTTTGAGCTCTTCCTACTGACTAGCAGCAGGATGCTCAGCCCGAGGTAGCTCTGCAGTCACATGGGCAGCACCCAGGCCACACTGAGAGAGTTTTTGCCTTGCAAATTGGGAACCCAACTCCACGAGGATGCAAACCAGCTTTTTCCGACCCAGGCAGCCAACCATCAGTCGGCCTGTGGGATGGTGTGTCCTCGTTATGTAAGAAACAGAAACATAGACAATTTGTTTCATTTAAAACAGGGGTGTCCAAACTACTGCCCGGGGGCCAAATGCGGCCCGCGGACCATTTTGAAACGGCCCTCACTCAGCAAATAAAAAAAGTATAATGACTTAAGTATAATAAACTTCTGCTTGTCTTACTTCTTAAATATATATGTTCAAATATGTTACACAGTAGTATTCATGTGTTAAGTTCCCATCAGCAAAAACATGTTGGTTTGCTATCCTGGCTCCAAAATGGTGGAATGAGCTCCCCATTGACATCAGGACAGCAGAAAGCTCACACATCTTCCGGCGCAGACTGAAAACTCATCTCTTTCGAACTCCCACTTTAGAGCGATAGAACTATTAACAAAGCACTTACATACTAACAAAGACTGGCTTATCTACAGCCAGTTTGAGTAGCACTTGAAATGTTTATGGCTCTATGAAACCTGATGGTACTAATGATTTGTTTTCTTCCAGGTTCTATCTTCGTGGTCTAAATGGCACTTATTGTAAGTCACTTTGGAAAAAAGCGTCAGCTAAAATGCAATGTAATGTTAATAGGCCCAATTTTCCAAATAAACTCAGTCAATTAAAGTTGAAACATGTTCTACACAAATCTAAAGTTTGATAAGAAAAAGCCCAATTAACAAATGTACATACAACCTGGAAATGACCCTTCATATTTCCCCCTAAATTATAAGCAATCTGAAAGCTTCCTGTTTTAAGGCCCGAGCTGCTAACGAAGAAAGTAACACCCTCTGTGAGAGCTGTGATGTACGTCGTTCTTTACAGCATTTTCAAGTATCAGAATAATTTTAGATAGCATTGATTTACTTTTCCAACTTCCTAACGTAACTTATGAGGCCAATATACCTCGTAGGATGGTGGCCCAGCCCCTTTCGTATATTCCTCTGTATGTGGCCCTCGTGAAAAACCCCCTGATTTAAAACATTTAATTGCACCCTGTTTTAGTCCAGTAATAATGAACTCCCACAAACAAGAGCTGAGTAAACAACGCAGCCTTCGCGTAAGAATGAAGAAGAATGGTTTTAGCGTTCACATCCCTGTCACAAGTGGGCTTCATTATGTCCAAGCTTGTTATTCCCCATGATTTGACACATGAGAGGGAAAGTCATGAGATGAGCTGCAGGGGTAAATATTACTTGGAAGAATTACTTTGTTCCATTTTGTCTTCAACCTCCTGTTTCTAAATGCTATATCTTTGGAGGGACCTCGTGGTCACAACTATCCGGCAACAAATACAAAAAACGGACTAGTCATGCATACTTATCTGCGGGTTTGAAATGTCTTTTTAAGAAATGTATGTATTATACAAGTATATCTTAGTGCTTACTGTTTGTTTTTATTTGTACTGTAAAATGCCTGGCTCCGTAGGCTACAGGCTAAAAGATACTATGTAGTCAGGGGCAGTCTCCAAATNCTCTTCTACATCACCATGTGTCCCCTCTTCTTCATGTCTCTTCTCAACATGTGTCCCCTCTTCTTCATGTCTCTTCTACATCAACATGTGTCCCCTCTTCTTCATGTCTCCTCTACATCAACATGTGTCCCCTCTTCTTCATGTCTCTTCTACATCAACATGTATCCCCTCTTCTTCATGTCTCTTCTACATCAACATGTGTCCCCTCTTCTTCATGTCTCTTCTACATCAACATGTGTCCCCTCTTCTTCATGTCTCTTCTACATCAATATGTGTCCCCTCTTCTTCATGTCTCTTCTACATCAACATGTATCCCCTCTTCTTCATGTCTCTTCTACATCAACATGTGACCCCTCTGTGGAAAGAGACTCTGAAAGTTTCAGGAACAAAGATTCTCTCTCTTTTTGATCCATTTCTATAAAAACCTGTCTGAAAATGAGCTGATCAGATTTTGGCCACTTTATGATGTCATAACGATGTCTTGTCTTGTGTAACCATTAGCCAATCAGCAACCAAGGTAACTCCCCCCCCCCCCTTATCACCTGAATCTCCTCCTAGAGCACCATTGTGTTCTTTGTAACCAAATGTCTCTCAGAGGGGCGTGGGGAGGGGCTCCTTATTTTTCATCTAAAGTAACAGACAGAGAATCAGCACTTTGGAAACAGGGCTGAAACAGACGGGATTATGGGTAATGCTGCAATGATCTGTTTGGTGTTTCAGCCAATCAGAGACAGGCTCTGTATATATCTGAGACCTGTGATATATTGATGAGAAACAGTATGATAGGAGACCTTTAATCCTTATGTGTTCCCCATCCAGGCAGTGCCACAGTGGAGCGAGAGGGGATGTCCGGCGCTCTGGTGAAAGACATGAGGAACTACTTCCAGGTCAGCCCAGAGTATTTCTCCATGCTGTTAGTGGGGAAGGATGGTAACGTGAAGTCCTGGTACCCCTCCCCCATGTATTCCATGGCCATCATCTACGAGCTGGTGGACTCCATGCAGCTGCGCAGGCAGGAGATGGCCATCCAGCAGTCACTGGGCATGAGATGTCCTGAAGACGAGTACGGAGGATATGGATACCACCAACATGGATATCAGGATGGGTATCACCAGGGTTATGGGTACTAAGAAGAGTAACATCTCCCTGAGGATCCTCTTACTTTCCATCCCTTCTTTCCTTCCCATCCTCTAAACACTTCCAACATCCCTTCTTTCCTTCCCATCTTCTAAACCAGGGGTGTCCAAACTACGGCCCGTGGGCAAAATGCGGCCCGCGGAGCATTTTGAATCGGCCCTCACTCAGCAAATAAAAAAAGTATAATGACTTAAGTATAATAAACTTCTGCTTGTCTTACTTCTTAAATATATGTTCAATTATGTTACACAGTATTCACGTGTTAATAAGCTCACTTTTCAAATAAATTCAGTCAATTAAAGTTGGAAACATTTTCTAACAAGTTTAAGTTGATAAGAAAAAAGCCCAATAACTTATTTACATAACAACCTTGAAATAAACAGAATGAAGTAAACCCTCTGGAGAACTTTGATGGAAGCTGTTTTTTTCTTAAAAGCATTTTCAAGTATCAAGAATAATTAACCTACATTGGATTGACTTTTCCAACTTATAACTGAACTTATGAGGCAAAATACATCTAGAGAGCGGCCCAGCCCTTCGTATATTTTTCTGTATGTGGCCCTCGGTTAAAAAAGGTTGGACACCCCTGCTCTAAACACTTCCTTTATGCCCTGCTGTTGATTCTCAGGCATCACTTCTTTCCTACCCTATTCTCCACCTCCTCCCTGAATTTTTTTAGCACTTAGTGAAAGCGTCACACCTGTTGCTTTCACCTTTCCACATCTTAAATATATATATATATATATATGTATTGCATAGTACGTCCTTGAGGACGAGTACGGAGGGTATGGATATCACCAACATGGATACGAACATGGATACCAGGACGGGTATCACCAGGGTTATGGGTCCTAACATTTCCCTGAGGATCCTCTTTACTTTCAGCCATCACTTCTTTCCTTTTCCTCAGAGATGGCAAAAGTACAGACATCCTTTACTCAAGTAGAAGCAGCTGTTTTAAAGAGTACCTGACCTCCCTTTATATTAAGCACAATAATGTCATTGTTAGCTAATGAATGTTTCCATGGTGACCAACGGCAACATGACAACGTTTTCATTGGTCCCTCTTCTTTAGAGAAGACCAGGAAATGATGGATACACGGATCGTGTTCAAATCAATAGGCACGCAATGACTCTAAATAATAATGATCACGCCACCAAACACACATTCANACGTGCACTCCGCATCGGCCAAACAGCTCGCTGCATCCGCACTGCGAGGGGGACCCAAGTTCCCATCAGCAAAAACATGTGGGTTTGCTATCCTGGCTCCAAAATGGTGGAATGAGCTCCCCATTGACATCAGGACAGCAGAAAGCTCACACATCTTCCAGCGCAGACTGAAAACTCATCTCTTTCGACTCCACTTCGAGCGATAGAACTATTAACAAAGCACTTACATACTAACAAAGGACTGGCTTATCTAAAGCCAGTTGAGTAGCACTTGAAATGTTTTGGCTCTATGAAACCTGATGTACTTATATGATTCTGTTTTCTTCAAGGTTCTATCTTCGTGGTCTAATGCACTTATTGTAAGTCACTTTGGAAAAAAAGCGTCAGCTAAATGCAATGTAATGTTAATAGGCCCAATTTTCCAATAAACTCAGTCAATTAAAGTTGAAAACATGTTCTAACAAATCTAAGTTGATAAGAAAAAAGCCCATTAACAAATGTACATAACAACCTGGAAATAGACCCTTCATATTTCCCCTAATTATAAGCAATCTGAAGCTTCTGTTTTCAGGACTGAGCTGCTAACGAAGTAAAGTAAACCCTCTGGAGAGCTGTGATGTAGGCTGTCGTTCTCTTACAGCATTTTCAAGTATCAAGAATAATTTAGATACATTGGATTTACTTTTCCAACTTCTAACGTAACTTATGAGGCAATATACCTCTAGTGAGTGGCCCAGCCCTTCGTATATTCTTCTGTATGTGGCCCTCGGTGAAAAACCCCTGATTTAAAACATTTAATTGCACCTGTTTTAGTCAGTAATAATACAACTCCAACAACCAAGAGCTGAGTAAACACGCAGCCTTCCGTAAGATGAAGAAGAAGTGTGTTTTACGTCACATCCCTGTCACAAGTGCTTCATTATGTCCAAGCTTGTTATGTCCCCATGATTTGACACATGAGAGGGAAAGTCATGAGATAGACTGCAGGGGTAAATATTCTTGGAAAGATTATCTTGTTCCATTTTGTCTTCACCTCCTGTTTTTAATGCTATATCTTTGAAGGGACCTCGTGGTCACACACTATCGCAAATACAAAAAAACGGACTAGTCATCATTTACTTATACTGCGGGTTGAAATGTTTTTAAGAAATGTATGTATTATACAAGGTATATCTTAGTGCTACTGTTTGTTTTATTTGTACTGTAAAATGCTCTGGCTCCGTAGCTACAGGCTAAAAGATATAAATGTAGTCAGCAGTCTCCAATCCTTTTAGTGGCAGCTTTATCTGCGTGAAACTTGGACAATAGTTTATTAATGCAATTCTAATTAAACTGTTTTAGTTTACCCTTCATGTAACCGTATTTTATTAAGAGAAATGTGCATCATTTAACTTGAAGTTATTGCTTAACTACCCCGCTGTCATAACATTTAATAATCCATGTACTGTCACGGTGTTTTTATCTGTAGTGAAAACATGGTGCCAGGAAAGGAGCTAAACTTATTCAAGCTCATAATTAATTCACATCAATCCAGTCAGAGGGTTTAGGGCCATTCTTTTTCAACAAATAGATATGTAGTTGGATTTGTGATGAAGTTCCCCGAATGCATTGAGGCAGCCCGCAAGCACATTAAAACATCCCTAAGGGTAAAGACAGCGGATAGAGGCAGACACATATCACCGAGATATGAGATGTACATAATGCACAACAACGCAACAACCATCGCTCAACAAACAACAGGAAGAGGACATCTGGTGGAGGGGGAAATCAGCATGAGAGGATTGGGAGTTGGAGCCCGTCAGATGATTATTAACCTGTTTGAATGTGACCAGTAATTGTAAAAGTCAGCTGATACTGACTTCTTCCGGGACCGATGCGGCACTCCATTAGTGTGATAGTTCCCGATGCCCGCTGGGAAATTACCTCCTGTCTTACCCCCCTACTGGAAGATAAGGGACTCTTGGTTGGTGGGTGCAACCGTGTGGAACAGGGTCCTCTATTTAAAGCACCACTGAATCTCCAAATTGCACTTTTCATGCTACACCCTCTTGGCTTCTTCAACAGTAGCTGCGAATGTGTGCCGGTTAAAATGTTGAATGTGTGTTGGGGATTGTTTCAGCTCGGTTACAGTCCACCTCGTTTCTATGAAGGACAAGGAGAGAATAGAGGCCGCTCAAAGACAAGAGGAGTGTATTTTGAGATTTGTTCTGTGTTTGAGCTGACTTTGTTTGGCTCTTTTTTATGTTTTGGTGCGTAGAAGCAAACCTGTACAGGGGTGATGAGACGCCTCGGGAAAGCAAAGTCATGCTTTGCTGCTTTGTGAGCAAACAACACAGTCTTTCATGTTCAAACAATGTGACCTCACAAAGAGTGGTGCAGTGTTTACGTGTTGTTGTAGGCCAACCTGGAAGTTAGCATCGCAATGGCTGCCTCAACACAAAAGCAATGGGATTTTTCCATGGTTTTTGGAATATTGTGGCAAACACACATCTGTTCAGAGGGATAATCTCCACATATTGACACCATGTGTAATTGCTGAAGCCTGAATGTAATGGGCAGAAGTGAAAAGCTAACATCAGGCTATAAACTCTTGACTACTTGACTATCACTTTATGCTACAGGCCGATTCGTGTGTAGCTTGATGACGTTAAGTAATCGTATTTAGTCACTTTTAAGCCACCTCTCTTTTAGGACATGGAACATGGTGGACATTCACCAGTGGGGAATTTACTCACATATTTGAAGTCGTAGAACAATACGTGAACATCTCGTTAGCTTCTATGTCCGAAGACATTTTAAACCAAAAGCTTGAGAAAACCCAAAGCGCTAAAACGCTGACTCGGGTAGGGTTAGGGTTAGTGAACAGGCCCTCTTTAGATTTTCTTTTTTAATGCTTACATGTTGAATGAATTTCCTCCACATAACTAAAACTATGGCACATTCTTCTTACCTCACACTTTTTAACAAATCCCATGAAAAAACAACAATGAATCACCAACAAGTACTTCCTGTGTTGCTATGTTGATATGTTCAACACCAATGCCCCTCCAAGCAAAAGTCAAATGACAAGTACAATACAGACTTATCCTTTTAAATAAATATTGTTGTTCATATGTGCTTTGATAGTATTTGTAATTAAATGAAGCAGCACCCGAAAGTTATTGAACTCATCCCACTGTTGAAAGATTGGACCAAAGGTAAAGGACGGACCTGCAGGGTCAGAAAGTTGGGGTTAAGAATAGAAACGTCTCGTGGGCAGACATATTTCCTTTCTTCCACAAAGAGATACTGTGTCCTCTATCTGCTTCTCCTTCGCTCTCAGACAAACCCATTCAAGACTCAGTGATTAATTATTTACCCAGGCAATGAAATGCCAAAGCCTAGAGAAACACACCACCAGGAGAGAAAAGGTCACTCGTAGACACACACTCCACAACACACACTGCCACACAACAGTGATGGATGGCAATAACATCTTTATCGGTGCTTCAGGCAGACAGAGTTTTCATCCTTGTGTCCAAACACCGTCGGGACCAAGGGCAAAGCAAAAACTTGAGTGATGAGACGAATTCCTCGAGAGGGCGCTCATTTAAAAACCGCTCACATGTCAGAGTTGGTGAACCGTCCGATCAATAGCATCTCGCAATCAGTCAAAGTGTTTGCTGTAGTTCCTGTGGCTGAAGAATGAATGTAGCCTCTATAGCTTGGACATTGATGGCAAATGTCACCTGCTTTAAAATATATATTACAGAAGTTGTGCTGCTTCAGATTGCCTGATGTCTTTGTTTATGTCCCTTCACAGCTCCACTACACAGCTGGCCAAATGGGGTGCCAATGCTGCAGGATGATAAAGAGGTGAGTAATTACCTCTGTTTGGTTTTGGGATCCTTTAAAGAGAAACTGATATATGATTGGTTCATTCAAACTCCATTTCTTTAACTTTCCTCTAGTGACATGTAGCCAGTTTTTGTTTCATGTTTGATGGTTTTGAAATATAAATAATGTTCACCCCAAGACATGGAGGTCTTTCAGTTGTGGTACTCACTAGATTGAAGAAGTATAAATAAAGTATAACAAGGGATCCAAAAACACTGTCTCTCCATTTAAATAATTTACAGACCTTACAGTGAACATGTAAGGTCTGTAATATTTGATGTGGGTGTTGCTTTTTGCCTTTGTTTGAATCTAGTGCCTTCAGCAGGTTTTTACTCACATTAGATTTAGCTCTACTAAATGCTAGCAAGCTAATGTGCTAAACTACAATGGGAAACATGATAACTGCTTACTAGCATTGCCATTGTAAGCATGTTAGCATTAAGCACTTTGTCTTTCTGATAAATCAACTTATTTTAAGCGCTAATTCGTGTTAGCTCTTTAGCATAGATTCCAGTCCGCCTCCTCACTAACAGCCTCTCGCTAGATTTCCTTATCTGCAGGTGAACAGGGACAATTCAAATGTCTCCTTGCCCACATAATGATTTCTTGTCTCATTTCATGCAGATAGTGAAGGGTCCATTTATAAATGATGTCTGCGCTGAGCCTCACGTGGGCTCTTTGTGCAAACTGAGTCAATATGCCAATAGCCATCACCCTTGGTTACTGTATTTCCTTGCAGGACTGTCTGCTCATTAAAAGCCTACACGGCATCGTTGTCAGGGTCTGACATCACGGTGCTTTTTGAGGTGAGCGAGGAGATAGAAACAGGGGCCGGGAAACAATTTTGATTGCAGATTAATGAAAAGGCACACTGGGATTCGCATACCACAGCCGCAATCCCCCTCCTCACTTTTTCTTTCCTTTCCCATGTCAAAGACACACATGTGAATGCGTGCGACACACACACATACCTCTGTTATTGTCTGGAGTGTCACATTTCTGGGCTTAGTGGTGTTTAGGGTTGGCAGGGTGGGCTTTTAGGTTACTGGGTCAACAATTCAGTCTCTGTGAGCTGACACATTCCAGGCTGATGCTTTTATTTTGAAAAAGAAAATATTTGAATTTTCTTATTTACAAGGACTCTGGCAAAAAAAAAATCTCCAGAACTAGTTTTAATGTATATTTGATCCAAAACAATAAAAACAGTGAGTCTTAGCGGTCAGAATTCTTCACATTTACCACCAAATGTGACATTTGATCTTATTTAAAGGCAGTGCATGAAGCCTCACCCCAAACAAGCTAAAGCAGAGGCCTCACTAAACATTTTCAAATGTATCAAAAGTTTTTTGTGAGATATTTCCTTTTGACTTGATAGTAATTATATTTTCATTGTAGCTTTACCAATGTTTCCTTTGCTTCTGGCTTAAAGAGACATTATACACCCAAATGAATGTGCCTATCAACCCAAAGTATGGGCTTTTTGGGAGGGGGGCTTAAAGGGACGGGCGCTAAAACAGAGCATTTGAGACAGAGGGTGAATACAGGTATATACAAAAGAATAATGTCTTTTTTGAACATTGCTAGCAACAAAGCTTGCAAGTTATGCCCCCCTTTAATATGAAAATGCACTCGAGACAAAGATGTTCATCGTAGGCTAAAGTTGTAGTGGCATAAAATCAACTTGTACCACTGACTGCATTATATTTCAAACCATTATAACCAGCTTCAATCTAATGCTAGAAGTGAGTTGGCATTGTGCGCACATACTGCAGGGATGGCTTATCGTTGTATTAGCTCAAAGGAATCTTACACTATAACATAATCCCAATTTGACCTAATGCAGTAAACGGCAACTTGCCTGCCGAGCTTTCGCAGGTAAAACATATGCAAATAAAATCTTCTTCTAGGGCGGAGGTGCATCCTATAAAAAGAACTCTTTAACATAAAAAACACCACAGAGAGGGAACCCCGATGGAGAGAGGAAGGAGGAACTCTCAAGAACCAAATGCATCTACTTATATGCTCATTTGAATAGAGCAGCTGAATTTCTCTGAGTGACTTGTTGTCCTCAAAATGGTTATTTTTAGGTCTGATAACTACTGTCACACTAATATTCCAAATGTATTCAACCTTCCCAAGCATTTCGAGGCTTTTGTCTCAAAAACTGTAGCAGAAAGGCTGCTTCCAGACAATAGCTTGGAGAAAGAAAGTACTTCCTCCTGGCCGTTTATGTCCAGCTTCATGACTCATTGGTCTTATTTTTGTATTAGATGTGTGTTTGTTTGTGTGGCTTGAGCCTCAAATTTCACCTTGGCTCAGCGGCGGCGCTGCCCAGGAGCGAGAGAAATGGAAAAACATTCATTTTCTCAGCTCTCCACTGTGAAGGGAGACAGAGGGGAGGATGCAGGGTGAGGGAGCGAGAGTTGTTTAAGTGTGTGTGTGTGTGTGTGTGTGTGTGTGTGTGTGTGTGTGTGTGTGTGTGTGTGTGTGTGTGTGTGTGTGTGTGTGTGGGCGGTGGATGGTTGTGTGTCTGCTTACCAGGAGTCCTTGTTAAGAACAAGAATAGTCTGAAGTCAAAAAAGAGGTGTTGAGATTTTTTTTTAAATACAGTGAGTCTGAAAGAAAAGGACATCTTGAGACAGAAAGAGGAGGCAATCGATGGAAAGACTCGAGTGAAGGCGCTCAGATCAAGGACAAGTGAAGTGCAAAGGGACGGTAGACGAAAGAGAGACGAGGAGGCGGTTAGAGCGAGGCTCCTGGAGAGGTGTGAGATGGAGGCAGCTCTGCCGGGGTTACGACTCAAAACAAATGAAATGACAAAACATGAGGCTCTCGCAGCAGGTAATGTCTGACAGCCTGTTACTCTGTCAACAAAATAAAGCCCACCTGCCAACACTCTAATACCTGTCGAGCTGTGTGAGATCTTGTGTTTATAATGTATACCATTGTAGGAAAACTCTCCATCAGATAGGGGTTGAAGCACTTCCTTGTTTGCTTTGTATTAATCTGATTGAGAATGAAAACATTGTTATGAAATGCCCTCTTCGCATAATAAGTGCTCATTATTTTTAGAAAACAAAGTGTGAATTAATTTCCATTTATTAGCATTTTTTGGTTTTATTTACTTGACTTTACGCATAATCAGCTTCCATTTGTTTTGTTTTATCCAACAGTTGTTTTTTAAAACTGTTAGACGACCTTTTACTTTAATTTATTTACAGTAAATAATTTAGGAAGTTGGGTGATTTTCTCGTAGACTTCTATACAAACTGATTTATTTTTGGAACCAGTGATGTCGCCCCCTGCTGGCCATTAGTAAAAATAAAACTTTAGGCACTACCCCATTGTCTCCACTTTTCAGAACCAGAGGTGGCCACCTACTCTGACCCTTTTGAAAGGTTTTGAAAGTACTTTTTTCTGTCTGTCTCTCCCAGCTACATGTACGACCCCTCGGTGGCGGTGGATGTGAGGAAGACGGACTCTGCCAGCAGCTCGCTCTACCAGCCGCACCAACTCCCCCGCTGCGACCCGCTGCAGAAGCAGAAGCAGGGCTTCAACAACCTGGGCTACAGCAAGTCCAACGACAGCACGCTGAAACTGGAGGTGGACAACAACCACGTCAACCACAGGCTGCACTCACAACCCAACGAGCCCCACAGGCAGGCGACAGATGGAGGTCTGTACATCATCCAGCCAGAAACTCTGGGACCCAGGTGGGTGATGCAGGAAAGAGGCCAGAGCCAAGTCCCCGTTTACCCCAACAGACAGGAGAACCAGAGGAGCTTCTCCGAGCAGGAACGCCATGTGACGAAGAGCAGGTGGGACAACGGCGTAACGGAGTGTGTGATTGGCAGAGAGAGCCTGTCAGCAGACGAGATAGACGAGGGAGTGGGCGGGACTCCGGACTATCTGTTTGACACGGGGGACGAAGGGAGCGTCCTGTCGGTGGACCTCCAGACCAGCACCACCAGCCTGTCCTCTGTCGACACCAGGGACGGGCTCCGACTGCCCAAGGGTCTGGACGTTTCAACGGTGGAGAGCGGGATCTCGGTGATGAAGAGCGAGGACGAGGAGGAAGGGGAGGTGCATAGCGTCATGGACTCGATGGTGGCAGAGGCTCTGGCTGCTCTAGAGGCTGCGACGGCCGGGGAGGAGTACGAGTGACAGGACGCCTCACAAAAATGTCCCAAATTGGGATCAATTAAGTACTATCTTATCTCTTATCTTATCACCAAACAACTCACGGACCTGAATGCAACTTGACGGTGTGTTCAAAACCACCACGTAACTTTAAAGATCATGGAACGAATGAAGGAAAACTAAATAAGTACAGATTTATTTTTGAACTCAAAATCTTGTATATTTTTTTATTTTGGACACTTTGACAGAAGATGTTTGCCTTGTGAAGAAGGCAACTTTTCAAATGCCACGAGTGAGAGGTTTGTAGACGATAGATATCAGATCTTTGAAAGAACTGTGTTTAACACTCCACAGTCCTAACATGTGCTCATCCGCTGCTTTGCCATGTCCATACTGCCCTTTTACAGGTGGATGTTTGCTTCATTCTGGAGCATAGCTATGCTAATTGCTAGCATAGAGCTAATTGTGAACACACAGTCTTTGCCAGGGGCGGACTGGGACTAAATATCAGCCCGGGAAACTCGACCGGCCGACCGGCCCAACTCGGTACCGCAAGTCAATTGTCAACGGAGGGTGCTAGTGAATTGACCGACCGACCGGCCCACCTGGAAACTCCCGGTATTCCCACTGGCCAGTCCGCCCCTGGTCCTTGCCATAGCTTGCGGTCCCTTCAGGAATCTCGCCCTCGTTTCACTGAGCAGGCGAGAGAGGAAAGGTCATGTTTTTTTTATAACTATGTTAATGTCTTCGGTTTGTATTTATAATATCCTCACTTACATTGATTTATTCTGAGAAGAAACAGGATGGAGGACGAGGCAGCGGTCCTTATTTATAACTTTTTGTGTCATCATTAATTCCGTCATAATTAAGCAGAATGAATATCGTATCTACTTTGAAATTTAGGAAGATTAGTTTACACACTGTTGTTACATCATCACATACATGTACACTGACAACTCTTTGTTTTTCTGTCAATAATGTAACTGATTGCACAACATTACAGAGTGGGACCACTTTAGTTTCCGCAGCCTTTTAACCTTAGCTTAACGAGATCAGAAGGGGAACCATAAAGCAGTTTCGACAGAGCCAAGTTTTTTTAACGATAGCCTGCCAGACAAAACCTAAAATCCCAGTCAGAGAGATAAAGGAAACCGTGATGATTTTCCTAAACGTAAAATACGTTGTTTTGAGCAAGCCAACACTTACAATACACAACATTTTACGTTTTTTGGGGACGTTTTTGAAGCCAGGGGCTACAAAGGAAGATTGCTTTGACCCCTGAGGCGAATTTGTCATATTTGGCTATACAAATCAAATGGACTTGGCTTGACCTTATCGTCTCGCAACGTGGTTCACCCCTCAGCTAAGGTTAAATCATTGGATAGAAACGCACCAAAGGGCCGTCAATTCCCCCGACTAGCTCTGTTTTTTCAGGTCAGGCTTTGTGTTTCTAGCTGGCCTATGACATTAGTTCAACCTGCAGCTTGGTTAAGTGCCTTATAAGGAACTGATTGAGGTTAGATGGTGAGCGTGTGATAATACGCTGTTTTGCTCATTGAAGTTCTGAGTTCTGCGACTCCCCTTATCACTCATTGTTTGCCGGCCAAATCATTTCTACTATATTTGTATTGTAAAATAAAGGAATTGACTTTAAACATTTGCAAGCTGTGATGTACTTTGTGTGTCCAACATATCCAGTATTTTCAAGTAATATCATTAGGTAGTAGGGTAAACGGTGCCGAAAGGCTTTAAAGCTAGTAGTTTGCTAGATTTCGGACTCTCCGGTACTCCCTGGCAGCGCGCCGGACATTTGAACATATCTTCATACAGGCCGAACGGTGGTACTAAAGCTTCTGTATCAGTCACCTAAAGCCATTGGCCATTTTTCCCATTGACTGACATTTGGAAAGAGACGTTTGTAAATCAATGCTTACGTTTTGTTTGTTTTTTTACACCAACTCCCCAGTACGAACACTTGAATTGCCCTTATTTAAATCATTAGCGCTAAAAGCTGAATCCAGTTATTGTCCCTGTCCATTCATTAGATCGAGCCAAGACAGGATTGGAGGCGGGGCTTAAGGACAATTAAAGTGCCCAGTTGGCAATCTTAGGAACAAAATGGGTAGTTTAGATATTGAAAGTTAGGCTGTATCCAGTATAACATATATATATATATATATATATGGTGTTCCTTCCCTTCAAAGGTCAGCTAGTAAGCACATATACTACATATA